CTTTCTTCTGCTGAACACAAAAGCAGAACTCAACAAAACAGCTGATTTCCATACTATTTTTTCCCCCATACTATGGAAGACAATGGCTTCCATCAACTATTTAGTTAACAGCATTCTTCAAAATATCTTCGTTTGTGTTCAGCAGAAGAACGAAATTTAACTTGAGGGTGAGTAAATTATGACACAATTTTCATTTTTGGGTGAACTATCCCTTTAAGTATTATTGATAGTTTTTGTTAATATTTTGAATTAGAAAAAAAAAGTGCGAAATGTTGAGTTTTTTAAAAATATTTTTGTTATTTTATTTTTAGTTAATTCTAATAACGTTGTGCAGGACAAGCTACATACTGTTAAAGTGTACGATTTGCAGTTAGGAGTTTGTTTAAATCCATCCACTCCATGTCCAAAATGCCCCTGTTGGTCTCGAGACAGTGCCTGCTATTACTTGTCAAACCCACTTGTACGGTTGAGATAAAAATGATGTAAATGTCGTTACATGCTCTCCATATGCCGGAGACATATGCAAATGTGCTAAGTCAGGGATTGCCACTTGTCCTCGCTGTCTCTCTCTCTCTCTGTGCTCACAGTTATCTCAAGTCCTTGTTCAGTATTCTGTCTCCTTTTGTTTTCCATACAAATAATTTAATTAGACAGCAGAGAAGTATCCTTGATTTCGCCTCCCTGTTTATCAATGGTTTATTCGCTCTCCCTTGGCGTCTTTTATATCAGGATGAGAGCTTTTCATACAAGTGGAGAGACAAGCAGCAATCAGTGCATTTTATGCAAAGCTGAAAACACCGTTCGGCTTGTCAGGTTTGCAAGAGGGTGGTCCTCAGCACGTCGAACGGTGTGCTGCTAATAAGCTCGTCATCTGAGAATGCAGCTTGGCTTCTCTGCAAAATGAGTAAGCGGTCGGCTGGAGCACCGCCACTATTATGAGCGATTCTCTTGAGTTTAGAAAAATACCAAAGGTAATGCAAAACTAATAGGTGGGTAAACAGTTTGAGAATGCCGCTGTATAGATTGTGGGCTGCAATGCAATAACCTTTTATGAAACGGGCTGTTGTTTCGATGGCACGACAGGATACGAGCATCCCCTTGACAGAAAAGTAGAAAAAGAGAAACATAAAAAGGCAAAGCAAGGCTCCTTACTGGGATTAGAGAAAGGAGAGGCATGACCGGCATACTGATGGAGACGAGGTAGAAAAACATTGAGTGCTCGTATGTAGTCGGTGTCTGCCAAATGGCCTTTACAGTGAAGGGCGCCTGGCAATAAAGGACACGGCTATGTGACTGTCCAGGGGACGAGACAATGCGCCGAAATAATTGGAGGATGGCGTATGACATTTTGAGTAGCTTTACTCAGCACTAAACAGATGAAAGACACAAGGAACCGCAAGGTTAGCACGGTCGGCTACGGATGAAAAAAAGGGAGCTTTGAAAGCGGGGCTCCGCCATGCATAGTGTGGGTGGGGATAGTCCGCTAATGACTAGAAGATAAAACAGGAGGTCTGGTAGATTCGTGAAGCCTAACGTTTCAAAGCGCGGCGATGGAATATTTTTATCGGCAGAGAGGGTGAAAGAGAAGCGCTGTGAAGCAGAAAGACAGAGAGGAAGGCTGACAGCTCACTGGTGGAAGATGACAGGAGCGGCAGAGGGAGAGGGAGGATATTTGAGGGAAAGTGTAACACGGGGATGCTGTCAAGCCTCAAGCAAGCTCCATTTAACAAGCTGCAAGATTGAGGGACGGAGAAGAATTCAGGGAGCCGCGCAAGAGCATCCACAGGCTCCTCTGCCTCCTGTGCGTGCACGTGGAAATCTCGCACATTAGTCTGATTATGTAAACGTGACACTTGATGAAACAGTTGGTGAATGGTCACAAGATATTGAGCTACTGTCAGTCTATCTATCTATCTATCTATCTATCTATCTATCTATCTACCTATCTATCTACAGTTGGTCCACCATTTGAATGGATGGATGGATGGATAGTGGTATAGATGTATAGTAGGGCTGTAACGATTCACTCGTTTTCTCGATGCATCATTTACAAACCCTGACGATGCATATGCATCGATCTTGAAACATGGATTTTTGAATCGTGAATCATTGATTTCAGACAGTAATCGATTTAAAACGCTAAGCATCGAATGAATTGCAATTTCTATAGTGATTCAATGCTTTAAAATATATGCACATTGAGGGCCAGATTTACTAACAGCTTGCACTAGTGCAAACCGCCCTTTGGCGTTAAAATAGTACTGTCAGGATTTACTAAAAACGCGCAGTGAAGAATTAGCACTGAAAAGGTGTGGACACAGTTATTTTTGTGCCTAACCGTGGCATTGAATATGCATTTGTAAGAGTTTCCATTTCAGATGCAACATTTATGGGAGGAGAGTATTTAAATGAATCACGCAAAGCGATTTACTAACGTTCGCTCATGTCAAATTACTGGTATTTGTGCCATTAATTAGCGGCCAAAAAAAGCATGTCTTAAAGCAGGCAGTAATTTGTGCTTCTCTTGGTAGATTGTGCTGGTCATTATGGAAATGATCCGGTTGCGTCTGTGTTCTTTAATGTGTGCATTGTCAGTAAATCCCCTGCAGAATTTCCCCCTCCCATCTGCGCTTTTATGGAATTGTGTTCTAATGCTAATTTTCCCTGTTTAATAAATCGAATTGTTAATCGAATCGAATCGAATCAAATTGTGAATTGTCTCTAATCAAATCGTTCTAAATTTGCAAAAATCGTTCTTGAATTGAAAACCTATTAATCTATCTATCTGTCTGTCTGTCTGTCTAATCTCAATAGTTGGTCCATCATCTGAATAGATAGATAGATAGATAGATAGATAGATAGATAGATAGATAGATAGATAGATAGATAGATAGATAGATAGATAGATAGATAGATAGATAGATAGATAGATCTTTCTAAGGATGAATAGATGAAAAGCAGTTGATATTCTCAGACTGCTTCTAGACCAGAAGTATCAGATGTTGAGAATTATTGACATGTGAAGCCTAAATTTTCCAGAGATGAATGTCTCTGCGTCAGTCTCTCTGTGATGTATGATAGAGATCTCATATAGGGTCGTGTTTTATCGTCTGATCTCCTACATAATGGCTGGCATCAAGAATGACTGAATGAAAAGAGCATTCCTTATCTGAGCACCTCCCGCAGATAAACCCACCCTCAGACACATCTGTGCCACATCCACACACACAGACCACTGATCTTCAGATCAGAGATGAGAAGAGGCCATCTTATCTATGACACTCCAGAACCACTTCAAGCATGGTCATGCTCGCTACACTCCCATGCGGCTCAGATCCAACATTCTGAGTCCTTCCCCTGGCCCCATCTCACCCAACCACGCATCGAACACCCACAGCATGCTTATCTTCCCCTGGACAGACTAAATGTCAACCCTTACACCATGCTGGAATGCGATTAGCTCCATCGTTGCTATTAGCACTAGCTAATTTCATTCAAGGCTCCCTCCAATGTTTCATTTATCAGTCCTCTCAATTGGCTGGATTTTCTCGTTTGCGTTGGCTGATGGATGGGAATGGATCCCGTGGCACAAATTTTTGCCGGTAGCATTCACACATGCAGGCACAAGTACAGACAGGTCGTGCACTCACAGGCAGGCAGCCATTTTAGAGCTGTTTAATGTATAGAAGAGCACATTTGGTTGCTGTGTCTGAATTAAATACATGCTGTTTTTAGTTAACTCATTGGAAATGGCTTATATTGGATTTACATTTGTATTTTTTAAAAGGTGAGGTAATTTCCTGGAGAGATTTACTGTACATTTTCCTTCTTTTACAATGTACAAATCTTTTTTCCCCAGATAGATATTAAAAGTATTGTAATAGAAGTGTGATTGTTATAAAGATAACATGTTGATTATTTAATGTATATTAAATGTACTGTGATGTTTTTAAATTATGTAAATATACATTTTAATATACATTTTAAATTAAATGTATATTAAATGTACTGTAATGATTTTAAATTATGTAATGTAAATGTTTTTGAAAGAAGTCTCTTGTGCTTATCAAGGCTGCATTTATTTATTATTAAAAAAACAGCAATATTGTGAAATATTCAACTTCATTAATTTCAACTGTAATTTATTCTTGTGATGGCAAAGCTGAGTTTTCATCAGCCATTACTCCAGTCTTCAGTGTCATATCATCATATGACCGTTCAGAATTTTGTATGTATATACATATAAAGAAAATATAATACAGAAATCAAATATATGTAGATATAGGCTGATAATCTTTTATTATCAGTGATGAAAACAGTTGTGCTGCTTAATATTTTTGTGGAAACTGATGCATTTTAGCAGTATTCTTTGTCTTTGATAAATAGAAAGTTAGACTGTTAAACTGTTCCTTTAAAATATGTGACCCTGGACCACAAAATCAGTCTTAAGTCACTGGGGTATATTTGTAGCAATAGCCAAAAAAACATTATATGGGTCAAAATTATCGATTTTTCTTTTATGGCAAAAATCATTAGGATATTAAGTAAAGATCATGTTCCATGAAGATATTTTGTAAATTTCCTACCGTAAATGTATCAAAACTTAATTGTTGATTAGTAATATGCATTGCTAATAACTTTTTTGATTTTTTTTTTGCACCCTCAGATTCCAGAAACCATACATCAATGGAAAGCTTATTTATTCAGCTTTCAGATTATGTATAAATCTCAATTTTAAGAAATTGACCCTTATGACTGGTTTTGTGGTCAAGGGTCACATATAATATTTTGTAACATTACTGTTGCTTTTAATCAATTTAATGAATCCTTGCTGATTAAAAGTATTGAAACAAAAAAGTGTTACATTATCACAGTTACACATTCCCATTTTCCAGCTTATTTAAAAATTGCAAACATGAAATCATGTCTTTTCTGTCAAATGAAGTAGCTGCTGTCTTGACCTTGAGCTGACCCCTTGGCTTTTTGTCTCTTCTCAACAGGTGGTCGCCTCCTCTGCCTGGTGTTATGGCTTAACCTGGTGCCAGTGATGAATGGCTGCCCAGCGAAGTGCGTGTGCTACAGCGAGCCGAGGCCAACCGTGGCCTGTCAACAGCAGGGTCTGTTCTCTATTCCCACCGAGATCCCCATCCGTAGCCAGCGAATATTCCTCCAGAGCAACAAACTGACAGTGATCCGATCGACCAGCTTTAGTTCAGTGCATAACCTCACCGTCCTGTGGATGTACTCGAATAACATCAGCCATATCGAGGCGGGGGCCTTTTACGGGCTGGAGAGACTGGAAGAATTAGACATCGGCGACAACAGCAACCTTCGCATCATCAGTCCCACTGCGTTTCGCGGGGAAACTGATGCATTTTAGCAGTATTCTTTGTCTTTGATAAATAGAAAGTTAGACTGTTAAACTGTTCCTTTAAAATATGTGACCCTGGACCACAAAATCAGTCTTAAGTCACTGGGGTATATTTGTAGCAATAGCCAAAAAAACATTATATGGGTCAAAATTATCGATTTTTCTTTTATGGCAAAAATCATTAGGATATTAAGTAAAGATCATGTTCCATGAAGATATTTTGTAAATTTCCTACCGTAAATGTATCAAAACTTAATTGTTGATTAGTAATATGCATTGCTAATAACTTTTTTGATTTTTTTTTTGCACCCTCAGATTCCAGAAACCATACATCAATGGAAAGCTTATTTATTCAGCTTTCAGATTATGTATAAATCTCAATTTTAAGAAATTGACCCTTATGACTGGTTTTGTGGTCAAGGGTCACATATAATATTTTGTAACATTACTGTTGCTTTTAATCAATTTAATGAATCCTTGCTGATTAAAAGTATTGAAACAAAAAAGTGTTACATTATCACAGTTACACATTCCCATTTTCCAGCTTATTTAAAAATTGCAAACATGAAATCATGTCTTTTCTGTCAAATGAAGTAGCTGCTGTCTTGACCTTGAGCTGACCCCTTGGCTTTTTGTCTCTTCTCAACAGGTGGTCGCCTCCTCTGCCTGGTGTTATGGCTTAACCTGGTGCCAGTGATGAATGGCTGCCCAGCGAAGTGCGTGTGCTACAGCGAGCCGAGGCCAACCGTGGCCTGTCAACAGCAGGGTCTGTTCTCTATTCCCACCGAGATCCCCATCCGTAGCCAGCGAATATTCCTCCAGAGCAACAAACTGACAGTGATCCGATCGACCAGCTTTAGTTCAGTGCATAACCTCACCGTCCTGTGGATGTACTCGAATAACATCAGCCATATCGAGGCGGGGGCCTTTTACGGGCTGGAGAGACTGGAAGAATTAGACATCGGCGACAACAGCAACCTTCGCATCATCAGTCCCACTGCGTTTCGCGGTCTGACCAAGTTGCATACCCTTCACCTGCACAGGTGCGGGCTGTCCGAGCTCCCGATGGGAGTTTTCCGAGGACTCTTCTCGCTTCAGTATCTCTACCTGCAGGATAATAACCTTCTGGCGCTGCACGAAGACACTTTCCTGGACCTGGCCAACCTCACCTACCTATTCTTACATAACAACAAGATCAAGGTGGTGACCGACCACATGCTGCGCGGTCTCATCAGCCTTGACCGTTTGCTCCTGCACCAGAACCGCATCATACACGTGCAACAGCGGGCTTTCAATGACCTGGGCAAGCTGACCACCTTGTTTCTCTTTTTCAACAACCTCACCATGCTGACAGGAGAGGCCATGAACCCGCTGGTGTCCCTCCAGTACCTGAGGCTCAATGGAAACCAATGGATTTGCGACTGTCGAGCCAGGCCACTGTGGGACTGGTTCAAACGCTTCAAAGGGTCCAGCTCCGAGTTGGAGTGCCACCTTCCGAACTCTCTAACCGGGAAGGACCTTAAGCGACTGAAAAGCGACGATTTGGAGGGATGCGTGGACTCTCCGTCGCAGGTTCAAACCAGTATCTTCAACACCAAGGCACGCTCTGGAAAGTTCCTCTCACTCGACGATCCTCTCGTCGAAAGCATTCCCAGGTGCTGTCTTTCGGATAACGACAAATCCTCCATTATCTCCAGTAAGTCCCTCCCGGATCCTTCATCCTACAACAGCCGGCAGATCACCAACAATCCCCTGAAAGAGAAGGAGAACATCTCCAAAACCAAGTTTCGGGAGCTGGAGCGAACGAAAAACGAAACTCGCAATAAGCAGAGTCTCAACGACGGTCCTTTGGGAACCATGTCCAACAACCTCGACCAGACCATGGACAAAATCAACCCAGATCTTCTGGACAATCTGGAACCTTCTACAGCCCCAACCAGAAAGAAAAAAAAGTGCTCCAAAAAGCCCAAATCAGACCAGTATTGTCTAAAGGCTCACGCATCCACCGTTCAAGTATTGGCCGTTCTCTTTCTCCCCTTGTTCTTGGTGTCTCTGGCTTTGTCCTAGTTCATACTCTCGTCCATCAATTTGCTCTTTACAATGACACAAAATACCTGCAGTAGCCTACGTGGACAGGCAAAAGACGATGAAAAGGGGGTTACGACGTTGCCCCGCATGGTTGAGAATAAGTTGTAATGCTAAAGACGCATTAAAAGAAATGAATGCCTTTACAGAATACATGAGATCTAATGTATATAAAACACGGTGCCCAAATGTTTGTTCTATGTACTTTTAATGTGCTGTGTTTAAGCAACACTGCGGAGAGTTCCCTATTCCCACATCACCTCCAAAAAAAAGTTGATCTGAAAGTGACTATTGTAGATGAACCACTAAAAAAAAGAGAAAAAAAATCCTTAAACCATGACTAAACTAAACCAGAGCGCCGAAAGCACCCAGGAATGTTGCCGATGAGAAACCGAAGGGGAGTGACATGATTTTTTCCCCCAGTATATATATATATTTTTTTCTTTTAAAAGTGATACATTTGTTCTATGCTGTTTTTTATGTTTCTAAGTATTTCAGTAAAGACAAATGTTTAACTCTCCCCAAATATGTGCTATGTTCTGTTTGCGTCATGACACACACTGCAGGTGGCATCTTGGGAAGGAATGCTGTCTATTTGTTCACTGAAATTGCGATGGAATCATAGATATGCATTTTATTTTGCTGGTGTACAAGCATAAATATATGACAAATAAAATATCTCATTTTTTACAGTTGGCTTCTCATGTGACTGAAGAACATAGCATATACTATATAGCATATATTTCATAGTATATTGTAGTTATATTGCAAACAAAAGGTAACTATCCTTTTTTTTAAGCAAATTCAAAGACTAAATGAAACCCGAAGGAACTGAATGTCTATTTTGTGTATATTCCATTAGGACTGAAACCTCAAAGGCACACATTTCTGCTCATTAATGAACTTTAACATAATCACTAATGATTCATCCATGTGCGAAGCAAAATTCACAACTTGAAGCTTGCCAAATCAACCAGACATATTTCATAACCACATTAATGAATGTGACTGACTGAAGTTAAGAGTACTCCTCGTAGTACAAGTTTCTTCTACTTGGCTTTCACCATTAAGGACTTGAAATAATATTATGACATTTCCGAAGTATTTGTGTGTGCGGTGTGAGGAAATGCTGATGAACAATTATGATAAAATGCACATCAGCAGCAGTAAAATCAACATTCTTTGGCTACGTTTGCCATTGACAATGCCAAATGCCACTTAAAATACAATAATACAGTTCATTAATATTCTATTAATAGCACAACATTTACAAGAGATCATAACTAGTGATTTATTTGTATTAATGTTCCATTTTAATAACGTTCTCCTATGCTTTTATATGTTTATGCAATCTTACATTCATATTTAACATTTATGCATTTAGCACAGGCTTTTATTCAAAGTGACTTGGAGGAGCAAAGAGGAACAAATTCAGAATAAATGGAAAAACGCATCATAATTTGTATTAAAAGAACATACTAAAACTTGTTGGACCAAGACACACACACACACATGTGACCCTGGACCACAAAACCAGTCATATTATTTGTATTTATTTTTTATTGAGATGTATGCATCATCTGAATAAGCTGAATAAATAAGCTCCACACTGATGTATGGTTTGTTATGATAGAACAATATTTGGCCAAGATACAACTATTTGAAAATCTGGAATCTGAAGATACAAAAAAATAAAATAAAAATATTGAGAAAATCGCCTTTAAAGTTGAAATGAAGTTCTTAGCAATGCATAGGCCTATTTCTAATAAAACATTAAGTTTTGATATATTTACGGTAGGTAATTTACAAAATATCTTCATGGAACATGATCTTTACTTAATATCCTAATGATTTTTGACATAAAAGAAAAATCGATCATTTTGACCCATATAATGTATTGTTGGCTATTGCTACAAATATACGCGTGCTACTTATGACTGGTTTTGGTATAGGGTTACATATATAGCTCAGGTTGGTTGGTACTTTATCATGTATTGTAAAACCTGCAAAACATTTGTTGACATCTTTAAGTAGTTCCTTAACAGGGATCACAACATATTTATTCATCTAAAATAGAATCCTTGCACTATTTATTCCCAATTTAGACTGGAAATGTCATATCAATGAACAACCTCTAATCTGTAGTACACATTGAGAAGTGCTCAAGTATGGGTAATAGACTATCACACTGTAGGAATCCTTGTTCTGTCCTCTCCCATAAACAGATGGCAGCCCGTGCTGGGATTGTTTGCGGATGATGACCCATTGCTTTATCAAATCTGGCCAGCGCTCAAGTCCTCGTCCACTGCCTTCAACTACTCGTATGCTGCAGGAGTCTGGCAGGAGAGAGCAAAGCACACTTCAGGAGGTTTAGCCAGCAGTCGTATGTTAAACTAAACACAGTCCTGTCAGCTCACTTACACCCCGTCTACACTGCTAGCGACACAGTAAAAATAGAAAGCTCACGCTCTAATCGATGAAGCCATCTTTAACATGCACAATAAGCGTGCATTGATGAATAAGCTTTGTTGGTTATAATGAGAACGTTCTTGGAATGCTGTGTTTCACAGTTGCAATGTAGATGCTGTGTAATTATGAGAACAAACATTAGAGGTTTAAAAGGTCAACAGTATGCATAACCCATTTTACTTAGCAAGAAAACAATATAGTACCAGATTTTATTCACTGGGAATTGGTTGGTTCAAGAAAGGTGGATAAGAGGATGGCCTACCTAAACAATAGGCCAATAAGAGGCTGGATGGCCTACCTAAAACACAGCTATGACTTAGTGTATGTATGTATATATATATATATATGCACACACACACATTATATACAAACATATGTATTTACAGACACCACAATAATTGATAATTCACCACAATAATAAAAAAAAATCACAATTTTATTTGCATTGTTTTCAATTTTATTAGCATTTATTTTTAAATTTTCAGTTTTATTTTTATTTTTAGTTCAGTTTTCAGTAATGTTGTCTTTGTTCGTTTTTTTAATATATATATATATTTTTTATAGTGTTTAATTTAATTTTAAAATATGTTCATATTATTTTAGTTTTGGTATTTTTAGTACTTCAACTTACACTTATTTTATCTCAGTTGCCAATGTGACATTTCTAATTTTCATTTTCCAATCAAATATATATATATATATATATATATATATAGACAGACAGACAG